TTTTTTTCGATGCTCAAAAACACACTGCTCATGTCACAAACGTATTAAATATACTAACTAATCACAAGTATTGATTTATCGGAATACGCTGACAGTTATTTCACAATTTATCTTAATCAAATTATACAGATACCACCGATCAAAAATCTTATACAAAAACTCAGCGAATGTCACGAAGAAGAAATACCAAGAATAGTAGAGTCTGCTATCGACTGGAGCTATCCACGGGGAGATCTCTTTCATTGGATCGGCGTTTTGAATCGGTTTGATACTATGCTCGAAAATATCTGTAAAAATTATAACTTGAAGAAATTGCAAACATCAAAATTCTCAGAGGGAGCTCGTGTCGTATTAGTGGCAATATTGAAATTTTCGCGGGTGTTGTTGGAAAACTGCACGAATAGAAATTTGTACAGTTCTTATGAGGTATGCTAATTAAAATTTTACTCTGTTCAACAGATTTCAAATTGTATTAAAGCTATTCTCATTACACATAATTTTTCAATCAGCATCTCAATGACTTGTTATATACAAGTGATTTGGATGTTTTAGAAGTTTTGTTGCGTTTGATTCTCCGACCTGCACAACGACTCAGTAATCAGCGAGCGCTTCGCACAAATTTTACCATTTCTCCTGAGCGCATTTTAACGTTGGCTCATTGTTGGGGTACAAAAGAATACGATCTTGAAATGGAAAATCTTGCATCTGATGATGTAACTATTCCAGAAGAGCTGACTACCTTAAATTATCAGTTTTATCGACATCTAACCCCATCGGAAGCTGCTGAAACTACTGTTGACAAGAAAAGTGATACAACCACTCCTACTCAATCTCAGAAAAGTCAGAGAAAAGATAGTGCATCAAGTTCGGGTGGGACCAAAGCTGGAGAAGGCGTCACTTTAATTTCTGTTAATAACGTTCGTCAACTTGGAGATACAGATATGAACATTTTAAATCATGTTGTTCAGGAATATAATATTCCTGAAGAATTTCACTTTGCCCTTCTGAATCGAATTCGAATTGTCACCAATATTTCATCAACCGAGGCTAGACGAAGACTCTTAATAATAAGATTACTTGCCGTTGCCATCATGGGTTCGTTTATTCACGTTCCGTTTGTATATGACTGCTATTATAAGCGAGTATTTACAATTATGTGTGTTTATTTATTGTTCTATTTCATTTTATTTTATTTTTAGCGCACGTTATCCCTGAACACGTTGCCCAGTCCAAATTGTTCTTATATGAACCTGATATTGTTGCAAACCTTGCCAAGCTAGTACACCCAGATCGAAACATACCATTTGTATGTATACAGTTATTTATTTAATTTTTCAAATTTACGATATGCGCTAACATGTATTTAACCTTATAGGATATTCAAACGGTTGCACTTTACGCTTTGGATGGGATTAGTAGATATCGATCGAAGCTTGGTGAAGTTTTAACAGCTATAAATGCTTCTGCAAATCATGGCATTCTTCTTTATGTTTTGCGAAGGGTTATAGCGGATCTAGAGCGCGATAATCGTTAGTATTCTATTCAAGATTTCTTAATACTTTGATAGTAACATTGAAATGTAGAAAATATTAATTGTTATAATATTCGCTTGTTTAGCCATATATCCTCAGGAATACTACGATGCGCTCTTCGCATTAATATCTTACATCATTACCACACAAACTGGTGGAACGATGGTTATATCAGCCGGAATCGTTCCAACGCTTTTGCAGTTACTTAACAATAAGAATTCACACCAATTAAAGGTAAGTTTTAATTGGCTTTAATAAATATAATAAGCATTCACCTAAAAGCTTTTATACAACGTTTTATAGAACGTAACAAAAGCAGTCGGTATCCTTGACAGTCTTGTCTATGGATTCAATACATCGTTTACTTCATTTTGTAATGCTAATGGCGTCCGTGTACTAGTTGGTAGAATTAAGGTAAGCTATTAATTAAATAGCTTTAATGTTATATTAGTCAATTATGTTAACTATATTTATATTATTACTTAACAGGAAGAAGTTGATAATGGTATACGACTTGCCAAAGAGGCCCGAGACAATCAAATGGAAGGTATCACGATCGCAAATTCATCTGCACCGGCTGGACCATCTTCAGAAGGTATTAAATACAAAATTAGCGTTGTGGAAATTCTTTATGCTTGTAACTAATTTTTCACCATTTATTAGTTGGAGAGCTTATTTCTTCTGTCGCTATTGAAAATGATGTTTCTCTT